AAACCGAGCATTGTAGTTTGAAAATAAGGGTCTGCAATGCTGGAAGGAAAAGAGTACTGTACGGAATAATCACATTTTGAATAATGCTCCTAACTTATCTAAAAAAATCTACACTTCTTAGTTACCTCTTGCTACCCATTTTAAAGCTTTAAGAGGCAACATGAGAAGTCATTTTATGTGAATGTTCCCAGTGGGACACAATAACATTCCATCCAAACGACTAAGTGACAATGATAAGCCTTATATAAGTACAATTGGAAGAGACGATGGTGTTTGGATAAATCGACACAACAGCTATAAATTTATAAACTTTTTTTCCAGTGGTGGTTTCAAAAAATAAAAAAAAACAGATACACAGTAACATACAGATCACTTCAAGTGATTTCTAAACCGACTTGGCAAATTTCACACTTTTATTTCCCCCTACACAGTTCTTACTATTCATGATTGTCATGTTATATTACGTGAAAAGTTTTAAAATGTGAATGGTTTTATCTACCAATACTTAATGTGAACTTGAGTTAGTTTACTTCAAAGCATAGAGAAATTACTCTACTAAATTGCAAGAATTGTGCCATGTTTGCCTACAAAATCCAGCTACTACTCTTTTAAACACTGCAATTTTAAATATGCTCCTGACATGAAAGGCGCTATGCCAAATGCAAGGATTAATATGATTTATTAACCTTCAGAAATTTGATGGTCTTGAGGTAGAGAAGGTAAAGTATATTTTTAGCAATGCAATGTTAAACAATATATTGTAAAGCACAACATGTTACTGGAAATATCATGAAGCAAAACAATCAATATTCACAGAATAGGAATAAATGGTTCATTTATTTGTATAGAAATGCTACTTTAGTCGTCTATTAACCTGATTCAGATTGGCTCAGGTAAATACTAAAACAGTCTCAATTTTAGGCACTGAATAGATAATATCTGATGATTAGGCAATAAAGTGTTAAAATGTATTGCAGTACACTGTATTCAGTGGAAATTTGGAAAAAAGACATTATCTACACTAAGTACTTAATGTTGTACAATATGACCTCTAGGCACTGCCACCTAGTGTTATCAAGTTTCTTTGCTGCCTTTACAGCAGTGGCTAATGTAAATTGTTTGCAGTAAACGGCACTAGTTTGCAGCAATATAAAACTACAGTGACATCAGTCAATTGGCCATACTTACATTGCATTTGTAATTCCCATAAAACACAGCTCTCCAGTGTAAAAGTCTGCACTGGGCTCATTTAAAATACAGCTGGATGTTGTGGGAGGACACTAGGGTGGGTGTATTGGAAGGATGAGGTCAGATGGGCCGAAGATCTTTTTACATCCAAACCAATTGTGATCTTGTGATTACATTTAAGAATATAAATTTTTGGGGGGGTGTGGGGGGAGGGGGTGACACAGCTGCGTGCATGGATGCTCGTTCAATACTGAGGACCACTCTGTATTAATCTATTGCTGGTTAGGACAATCTCACTGCAGGGCAGAGCTTATGAGAGAGACAGAATTTAGAAAAAAAAGCCCAATTGGCCAGGATAAAGACTCAGAAGTCCCTACCACAGACACAAATGAGTTCAGGGACAAGAGAAGCCTTTTCTCGTGCTTTAAAGATTATTCTAGAGATATCGCTTTCCAGGAAAGAACACAAGGAAAGTGTTTTAAGATGTGATTTAGAGTGCCTGCACTATAATCACAGGGTGGCTGTCTAAATGTAGTGGGGAACAAAAGAAATTGCTGGAAAGAACCCAGATGTGGTACAAAAAAATACAGTACACATTGAAAAATGCTAGTACAATAAAGATCTAGTAAACTAGTGTTAAAATGTGATCTTTTAAAAATTTACCTCTTAGATCAAGATATCACCTTATTAGCTGTGTAGCCTACAGCGTGAAAGGCTATCTATCACGATGGATTTCATCTACAGCCATTTCACATTCCAGTCCATTTGTTTGCTGTACTTTCATCACTGTATGTATTTCTGCATGAGATCACATTTTACGTTAGATTATCTAAGACTACTGCATCAGCACATTGCATTTTAACCAGGGACAGAAATGTCTATTGCTGCTTCATGCTACAGCACCTCCAAATGGCCAAAAACACAGAAAAGGCTAAATATCTATTCAACCAACACATTTCTGATAGACAAAAACACCCTTAATTATTGCATAAGCACCTAATGTATGATCAAATAACTTTTGGCTAGACAGGACTTGAACATAGTATCATGAAACCTAATGTACAATGTTGCATATCATCATAAAGATGTGGTTAAAGCTTACCTCCCAGTGTCACGCCTGGCACAAGGCCCACAGTTCAATCATTTAAACCACCCTTTATCTCAAAAAGTTAAAAATGACAGAATGTGTCATTGCCAGATCAAAGAAAAATGTTTTTAAAATATAATGTATAACAGTTGCCTTTCACATCAAAGTTAAAATCATTTGAAAACTGAACTGTGTACGTTTAAACTGTAGCGTCTGATACAACTCCAAAAGGATCTTTGTTTAGTTTATCAGTTGCTTATCACATGTGTTTCTAACTCGCTGTAGATAAATCCACAAGGGACACAAAATCACACGTGTAAATGAACTATTAGAGGAATAAAGATAGCAACTTCCTTCAATTTATTCCAAAATGTGAAAAGGTTTGATCACACTAAATATTTAGGTCCCAAAAATAATAAATCAAAACATATGCAAGTAAATGTAAGGTAAACTATTTAGACAGCTCTACAATTCTGAACAGGTGCAAAGTGGTGCAACTTCTGGGTTTTCCAGTAGATGGCACTTTAATCAACAGGTTCATGTATTTGAACCTTACCCTTTATTTAAGTGGGTGTATCTTCTTGCAGTTTACTGTAATAGGAAACCATTAGACAAACAAAATTGCACTCTAAATAGAATAATCACCCTAGGTATTCTACAGAAGAGCCGATTGTACTCTAAAATAAGCGGTTGTGTCTGTCTATTCTCAATGTTCCTTGGATCTTGGCTCACCACAAGATCCAACAGAACAAGATTATTGTTTGAACAATCTATCAAAACCAAATGACAATCTTTTTGTCATTCACTGGCAGGGATCTAGAGAATGCTACTCCCTTAAGGGAAGTTTTCCTCATAAACTACCTCAGCTAATATAGAAATGTCACATCAGGCTTTGTGATTATGTCTGCAGGACACCAAGTTCTGAAGAGAGCCTATTCCCACATAAAGTATTTTAAACCACTTGCCAAAAAAACCCCAGCAGACAGTACATATTTCTTCTTTTTGCAGGTTCTTCACCGAGCCACAAGAATTCCTAATGAATATGTACAGATAAATCCTCGCTTCTTTTAATCATTATACCTCAATTTTATTTGCTGATGAAGCTGTCTTCACGTTTCCTTTCAAATGCTCTGTGATCAATTATAACACTGAACTGTAATAAAAAAATGTAAATTGCTAACTATCTTCACTTAATGCAAATTTTCCTGGCCTAGGGAATAATGATTGGAAGCTTTGTGTTTGTTCTGTTTTTCAAGTAGCTATTCAGCCTCCAGTGGACCAAGTGCTTATGCAAGCACAGCTTTTAAAGAGAGTTTGCAGCTGCACTCACAGCTTCCAGGTAGGCTGCAGGTTTGGCACACAGCTGCCCACAGCTACACTAACTAATGCAGTCCCATCTGGAAAGAAAGTCAAGAATATTTTTCAGGATCAGCCTGTGTGGTTTAGTAGAGGCAACTCTTACGAGATAACTTGTGAAAAACAGTCCACGTAGAGCACACACACAAAAAAAATGGTCTTCGCTTCATCCACTCTTTGTTCATACCCCGTGCTTTGGCAAGTCCATTCAGCGAACCCTGAATTATGATTCATCCCAAGTGCACCTGCGTCCATGTGTTAAGTGCTGACAAATAAAACCCTTGCATCCATTTACACAACAAAGAGACCTACCCAGCAAGCCAACACCACTTTCTCTGTCCTCATATTAGTTTCAGTAACCGAGCTCCCCTTGGCACGTAGTAGCGGGTTTTATTTCATACAGAATTATAAATGCAGAATCAGTCACAATTTTGTTTTAAAGAATAAAGCACATTTAATGCCACAGAACACCCTATAGCATTAGATTATCAGAGCCATTAATGATTTTTACCAAACCCTAGCAACCTTTTTTTCATCAAAGCATTTTATTCTCAAAGGATAAATTTTAGAGCAAAGAGGGATCAACAAACTAGTTGCTTGAAAGCCTTTCTGATGTAAGCCTGAAGTTAGGGAAAGGCTTAATGAAGGCTTTAAAATCCACGAGGGCTTCACAATGAACATCTGACTTGGTGATTTATGCATATTAATAACCTCAGCCTACTGAGGCAATCTGAGTTGTACATGTCCTCAGAATCTTAATGTCTTCAGCTCCACTGGGATTATTACAAATGTAAATTTCTAAGATTCTGAGCTATTAATCTCTGTCTGTCCTCCTGTTCAGCAACATAATGACTAATTAAACATCAAAAGACCTGTATAGGAGATCTTCTTTGACAGCTTCTGTCCTGGCTTGACTCCCAAGAGGACTGGGACAAGGGGCAAGATTGTACGAATAAGCCACATATCATCATTACTAAATCTAACAACTAGACGTGGCCTGTAAATTTAAGCTGCACAAATACTAGCTTGTAAATCTTACTTTTGTAAAAATTCACAGGATTTGTAAAAACCTATTTTCGTTTTTAAAAAATTGCCGCAACTAAATAATTATCCACCTTGGGGTTATAGGGTTGTATATAATAAATTGGTCACTTTGATCCACGACTGCTCGTGGGACACTGCTGTACGCAATTGGCTGCCGCGTTTCACCTACCAAATATACAGTCAATTCACTTTACAGTATATTCTATGAAGCGCTTTGAGACGTCTCGAAGACGTGATAAGGCCCTATATTAAATGCAAGGATTATTATTGTTATTATAGTGCATCCAATCGTACAATGTATTAAGACCAAAAAAGCTATACTCACAGAAGAAGGCAAACCAGGAGGCACCTTTCTTACTTTCTTTGTCTGCGGGGGATCTGTACAGGAAGAAATCACATCCAATAAGTAGGATATGGCAATTTAGCATTATTTTGGCTCTAAAATTATAGCATTGTAATTGTATTCCGTACATTGGATTTGTATCAGCAGACAGCAAAATATTCCTACAGGAATAGAATTGGAGAATTCTCCTAAATGTTCAAAGGGGATCCCTGAAGGAATAAATGGGGAAAGTTTATATCCTTTTCTGGATTGGCAGATCATGTACGATACTGCACTAGGATAGAAAGATTTCAAGTGGCAAAGCCAGCAAGTGGAGTTTAAATACAATATCTGATCAGTTTTTTTTGTTGCCGTATTCTTCTTGCTGTTGTGTTTATACATCATGTTTAAGAGCTGAAAATGTATTATTACAAGGAAAGAGAATTGTACCTTCTTTATTTCACTCAGATAGAAAACAAATCTATTCCAAAAAGTTTTACGTCAAACTTAAAACTATGAAAATGCTGGAGCAAAACACCACCACCAAAGAACTAGAATAGATTTAAAATTAAAAACAGAAAATGCAGGAAATTTAAAGCAGTTCAATTATGATCTGAAAGAGAAAGGAAATAATTCAGGTAGGTCCCTTCATTGGAACTATTTCTAACCTTTCTCTTTCAAATGCTGATCGACATGCTGTCCATTTCCACCATTTTCTGTTTTCCTTTTCATCTTTAAAATATAATTTGCATTTTCACTAAGTTCAATTGAAAACTGATTGGCAATTTTCTAAGACTAATAACCATCTTGTTACATATTACAGATTGCATACATCTGTGACCAAAGCTCGCAGACCATAGTACAATGGGACTGCGTAGCAGGAAAACTACGCTACGCCAATTATTACAAACACAGTTTGATTGCTTCATAGTAATTTTTAAATTTGATTTTCAGTCAAACTTCATTCAATAATTATAGAGGCACAAATAAACTACTAATACACGAATGCATCTGACAGCTACGTTTCAGTAATGTGTGAAATTAAATGTTATTTCTTCACACATTGGGAGCAGCAGTGAGACATGGTGGAAATAAATGACAAATACAGAAAGCAGCCTAAGGTTCTTGTTTTGAAGATGGAGGGAGAAGAATTTCAGCTTATGCTTCACCCTTCATTTCCAAACCAATAGATTTGAATGCCAGTTTCTTGAAAAAAAAATTGCTGCTGTAAACTTATTTCCTTAAGGCACATTAGGACACGATCCCTGGATTTCCGATGAATGTTTAGTACCTCACTCAAGCAAACTTGTTGGCTCTCTGATACAAGATCTCACCGAAATGTCGTGATTCTGCCCGCTCAAAGTGGACTGTAAATTTCTCTTGGCGTAGCATATGTCAGCAGATTGTAATTGTACAGAGATTTGGGGGAGGTAAGGGAACATCAAGGTCAAGCTTAGCCTGCCCTCACCCAACATCCATACACATGCACTTTCCTGCAGGGATCACATTATTATGAACCCTAGCTGTTTTTTCCCCCCTACCCCTCCCTCCCTCCCTCAAAGGTGCTTAGGTCAATTGTAGCATCCTAGCCCCAGCTGAGATCAGGTAACATATGGGGTAATTGCTCAGCTGCAACCAAAACCAATTCACTCACAGCAATAGAGTTATGGAATAGAAAAGCAGGTACAAACTTTCTGCTCCACATTTCGTAAAAATCAGGCACCAAAACAACCTCATAACCACATCCTTCAAGTTCTGCATGGTCTGCACCAGCTTAGTCCCTATCTGACTGGGTATTTGGCTGCAAATCCCTGCCAAATAATGGCAACTCAAATGTGTGCTACAATCTGGCAGTTTCTACCCGTTACAAGGAAGATTTGCAGTTAACTCAGCTCATAGAACTAGTGGGAAATACAAACCAAGTGCTGTAGAGTCATTAAGTGGTCTTCTGCGTGGATTTGTGGCAGTAAAAGGAAAGTACACAGTTCCAGGCTTTCCTGAAGATGGCAAAGTTACAGGGCTGCTTATTCCTGCTTCTGATCGAAGAATACTGGGCTGAAAAACAAATAACGTAACCATCACACAATTCTGCACCAACTGCTATTCTCGAAACACTAGCTGATACCAATTCACGTGTCGTAAATTCTGAGCAACAGCATAGTCTGTTGAATTTCAATCATTATTGAAAGTTTTTGTATAGAGGAAAAAAAAATATTCTGAATTGGAAAATGAAAGATCATTCTTGAGTACCTTAAAAACCAACTGGCAGCGAGAAATGAAGCGCGAATCATTGACAAAGATCAATGCGTAAAAACATTTCCAAGAATGGAGCAAAATGAAATACATCAGTTATGTCCAATTCAGCATGCAGCTCTCATGCCGTTCCTCTAATCGGTCATGGACTGCTGGTAGAATGCTGCAATATTAACCCAAGGTCAAAAAGTATGCCAACAACACAAAAGGATGCTTATTATGGATCCAGAGGGTTTAGCTATGGTTTTCAAATTAGCTTGTCATTTTAAAATCAATCATTGTTCCAATCCTCTCCAGTTATAAAAATGCACATGTGTCATCAAAAGCTCAAGATATTTCGACTCATTGCAGCAAATTTACTTTGTATTAATTCAGAACATGTGTGTAAAATTATTTAACTCTGTATTTTACACACAATTTGAATTAATCCGGTTCCCCCCGCGCCCCCCCACCCCCCCACCCCACACACACACACAGAATTGAGCTATAGGATTAATTTAATTTGCCTATGTATTCAGAAACAAAATAAATTGAATACAATATCAGAACTAAATCAGTACTTCAATGCACTCTACAGATTTACAAGTGTACTTTCATAAAAGACTGATGATAAATTGATTTGTCATATTGTTCAACGATATATGTAAGCAATATGCTTGTAACACCAATAAAATTGTATGGCAAAAACATAGATAATTATTTTCAGATAGACATTTTCAGGCAACTTGGTTATCCATTATTTTGAAAACTTTTGGACGTCTGTTTATTTTAAAAAATGTTACAACCTCAACTTTAGACAACAGTGTTACACCACTGATTACTGCTTGATAGTGCCCTTTGGGATATTGAAACATTCAAAGAGAAATTATCCCTGGGAAAAAAAGAGCAGAAGAAGTTCTTTGAACATCTCCCCCAGACTAGTGATACCAATTCTTATTAACTAGACAAACCCCAGTATAATTAATACAAAAAGGTCTGATTTTTTGCCATCTATTATTCAGCATTAATGTAGATCTAGTTAGTCTGGAATAGACAATGGGTGGTGGTGGGGGGAAGGGGTTATCTTTTTGAAATATGGCCTCAAATCCTTTAATTATTCCACATTGCACCCTATTTATTGTAAAGGACATACTGCAGTAACAAATCTTCACAACTTCAAAACAGTCTGAAAAAGACCCCATTACTTAGTGTTCGTTTTGAAATACATTGGCAGAAAAAAATCAAAATCGATAGTCTTCCCTACAGAAAATATAGTAGATGGAATTTAAAAATACTAAGATGAAGTCCTAACCAATCTCTCCCCCCCCCCCCCCCCCTCACCCCCAGGCTGTAGCTATCTTTCAAGTTGACAAAAGCAGTTTGGCAAAGTCGGATTATTTCAAACAAAACAACCTTAAATGAGTAATCAATAAGAGCCGGCAGAAAATGAAACCAATTACGATGCTTTCTCCAGTGTTTTGTCCTGAACAAGATTCCACTAAATGGATTGTGCTAACCTGCATGGCTTGAAGCTTAACAAATAGGCGTTACTACCCATTCAAATTTATTTTTGGAAGAAGGTTCAAGGCAAAAAAAAAATAAAGGTACGAATTTGACAAACGTCTGATTTTGCAACAGTAACAATCACAGCAAAAGTTTTCTTTTACTGAGCAACAAAAACATCTGTAAGATCATAAGGCTTCAAGGCAATCTCCTGAAATTTTAATTATCATCTTTGACGCTAAAATGTCTTGCAGACTTGAGGAGATAATGACAGTCATCCATCAACTGCATCCTGCCAGAGTAATCAGGCTAATCTAACTCACTGGAGTAAAAAAGACAGCAACCTGGGGTACTGAGTGCTGAAGCACTGCAACATAATAAACAGATGCAAATGAACGACATTAAGGCTTAGAAATCTTTGATTATCAGCGCACAAAATAATGCATCCGAATACTCGGATTAAAAAACTTATTTTGTCGTAATTACTGGAAACCAACAAACTTGTTATTTCCGCGCAAGATTCATTCGTTCCTAAACTTTTAACCGTGGCCAAACTACACGACGTAATGATGGGACACTGCTCCTCTCTGGAAATTCCCACATCAACTTTGCAGCCGTGTCTCCACCAAGCTTGGAAAAAGTCACATTTTATAATGGTTTCCATGGTTCCGAGACTTGGCCAAAAAGTGAGATGAACCAAGTCAATATTCTATTGTGGACCCTCAATCTATTAAGTGAGCCAGGCAGATGTTCAGTTCTTCGAGGCACTGGCTCATCATCAGGACTTCTGATGATCTGGGTGGAGAGATTTATTTTTCCAATAAATTTCAAGCAAATCTGCTGAAGTGCAGGGTGGCTGTCACTGGACAAGCTTAGCAATGGGTCCATTCCAACTATACCCCAATACACTTTGGGATCCATATTGCCTTCGCTTCTTTCACCCCATCTTTTTCTGGTCATCAGCAAGCCTCTCCTACTTCTAAATTAACCAATGTTTTAGTTGATTCGAGGCAACAAGTGCAAACAAACAACAACAACATATTACATTTGCACAGTGCCTTTCACGTCAGGAGGATATCCCAAGGCACTGGACAGTCTGCACAAATTCAAATGGTAAGCAAGTTTACCTAAAATTAAAGTAAAACTCCTTAGGTTTCTGATCAAATAAAATATTTGGTTTATTTCTTGAATCTAAAGATCGATAGGCGTTTTCAACTGATAGCATATCCCAACAGCTGCCATGTGCACACGTATAAAGTGGGTTTCAGATCCTATTTTAACAGATGCTATAAATATTCCAGAATAAATTGAATGTCACAAATAATCAGTGTCATTTTATTTTGAGACACCACAAGTAGGACTAAATAATGCAGTGTGTCACAACAGTGTCCTTTCACCGTTGGGACCTAGGTTTGAATCCAGCCTAGACTAACGGGCTGCAAGTCATCTTTCTGATAATTTTAACATTACTATATGAAAGGAATTCGGGCAGTCTCAAACCAGTTCCTTCTGGACATGCAGTCACACAAACACATAACTGCCCCAAATTTGTGACAAACAGACAGTTTCACGATGGATATGGAAATATCGCAAGAATAGGGAAGGTTCTTCTGAAATGGTGTTAAAGGCATGTGGTTGGAAAAGCGTGAAGGGAGCTTTGTTCTGCATCAGGCCTTGAATAAAATTCTATGTCAAGAGTGCTGCATGTCAACCCAGAATGTTAAAAGGAAGAAGTATTCTGTCACTTAGACAATACTGTACTTAAAAAAAACTTAAGTTGGAAGTTTTTTTAAAAAAAACTTCATTTTAATTAACATGTTCATACTCATGCTTTCAACAAGAATACCTACCAAATAGTAGTATGAAAGGAGTTTACACAACAAAACCATAGACTTACTTGGCACACTGGTATTCCTGGGTCTCTGCCATATAGTGCACGTGGCCCTCTTTCTGAAACTTTCCCTAGAAATGAAAACAAAATCATTTATAGGGTTCTATAGAAACTGTAAAACACTCATCCATAAAACTCATACAAAACGGTATAAAATCTTGCATCGTTTTTAAAAAATCCAATAAATTCTGTAAGACAAAATGGTATTCGAGCTAACACTGGGAGGAATATCAGGTGCAGGTCAAGTTGTTATACCCTTCATATGAAAACCTAACTAAAATCGCTCATTGAAGCAGAACCTATAGCAACTTTTGAAAGGAGAATTGGGCAAATATTTAAAAAAGGAAAAGTAATAATAAATAATCCTTGCATTTGATATAGCACTTTTCACCTCTTCTTGACGTCTCAAAGCGCTTCACAGAATAGACTGTAAAGTGAATTGACTGTATATTTGTGGGCGAAACGCGGCAGCCAATTGCACACAGCAGAGTCCCACAAACAGTCGTGGATTGAAAATGACCAATTTATTGATGTTTTGTTTTTTGGAGGGATTATTATTAGACATGTGGAGTAAGGAAACTTGCCCAAGGTTTCGCCCTGGCTGGAATTGAACCCAGGTGTCTCGCTTGCAAAGCGAGTGCTCTAACCACTGAGCTACTGGACTCCACTATGCATGAAAGTATAACAGAGAGGAGAAAGGGGAGTGGGGACTGAATGGATTGTTCTTTCAGACAGCCAGTGCAGACACAATCGACTGACTGGCATCCTTCTGTGCTGTTAAATTATATAGTTCCATAAGCAACACTTTATAGGTGATTACCTCGAAATGTAAATTGAACACTAAATGTGTATGAAAATGGAGTTTGTTGTATTTGGGGCAGAGGAGCTGAGAATAGTTTTCATTTAATATTATAGTTTTTTTTCAAAAGTTAAAGAATGAAAAAAATCATCATGTATGTCATACATCCATATATTTGGATGAGAATTAAGATGATCTACAAAAACAGCTGAATAAATCTAGGAATTTAATTGGATTCAGTCTATATCAGAAACTGAGCTTTTTAGCAATGCAACAATGATGCCTTGGTCATTATGATCCCACTGGAAACCTTTGCATCAAAACAATAAACAATTACGATGTAATAATAATAAAGCTTGCATCTTCGAGACATGTCAAAGCGCTTCACAGAATATACTGTAAAGTGAATTGACTGTATATTTTGTGGGTGAAATGTACGCTACAGAATACACCTGGCTCTTCCAGAAGCCAAAGAATTGAAAAAAGCACTATTAAATTTGAGTGGAAACCACCAAAACATTTTAAAAATTCAGTTGCTTTTTACAGTCTTATCAGTACAGTTACTCACAACTGCAGAAATGTCGATTTTAAAAATCAATGTAATTCTGTAGTCGCAACATTCCCAACACATACATCTTTATTTGGTCGACTGGTATACTTATTGCAGAAGTGGATGGCTCTTTAATGCACAAATATATCAGCACGCATGCCAACTTATCCCATTAAGTACACCTGACTGAAGTATCAACATTTTGTGGCTTTTTTGTAGTGGATATAAAACGCTTCAATGCACTACTGTCATATTACGATTTGTATATACAGGCATACTCTCAACACTGTGAACACCTGCTCTTGGTAACTGACATTCCAGTGATTCAAGGCAAACCACATAAATAGTTTTACTGTGCCATAAAGGCATCCATAGTTCCTGTGCATGCAACCGAGTGCAAGTCTTTCTGCACTTTGTTTTGCTTCGATATTTTTTAAATACTTGTATGCCTCGTAAATATCTAGCAACTGTTTCTGGAATGGACAGCTTAATCTTGCTCCTAATGCACACTAAAATACGTTCACTTTCTCACCGTAACTGCACTGTCACCAACTAGCGACTATCCTCGGGGTGGGGAGGGGTCTGAAGTGGCTCCAAGGTGACATGTTTGGCAACGAAATGTCAGAATTGAGCCAATTCTCTGTGGTGGTCTCATCAGCAGGACTTGGAAGGACCAGCAACTGGGGGTAGGGACTGACCCAAAAAACTGCACTTAACAGCAGATGCAAAAGAATTCACAATCCAGTCATCTACTCTCAAACCCAAGTCAAAGTTTTGATAAGTTTAAATGCCTGTTTCCCTTCTCCACCCACCCCCATAAAAACACTTAATTTAAGCACTATAATGCACAATTTTATATTTGATTCTATCCTTTTTATACTGAGGAACCTTGTTGCAATATGATTCTCTGGATCCAATAGCTCAGAGCTAGTGTTTTAAGAGAAGTGGTAAAAAAAAAGCTGGCTTCCAAGTTGAGTTTGACGTCATTTCCTAGATGCACTTTCATGAACATGTGCAGTGAGCAGACAACTTGCAACCTAAAGGTCAGATTTTTTTTTGTGCTCGGGAAGCCTGCTAGTCAGCACCAGAAGCCAGGTTTATCTAATTAGCTTGGGATCCACAGAAACCCAGTGCTATAAGTGACGCAGTGCTATATCCAGAGTGCTTAAATCACATTTCCCTGTACTATTCTAAGGTAACCACTAATTCTCAAGAAACCTGCTTAAGCACTTTGGCATGAAAAGGCTATCAAACAAAAAGTAAATGTGCTGTTAGCAAAATAAATTGCAACACAAATCATTTTGCTCACATTAACTAGAGTCGGAAATTTTCCCACGAGTATAATTTTTGTACAAGATAAACTGAGGGATAGTTTTGGTAGGCACTATGTAAATACATGAGGATGTCTAAAAACACAAGATAAATATTTTAGTGATTACATTTGTATTTGCTGTCAAATGTTTTTAAAATCACAGCAACTGTTTTATTCATTTGTAAGAACTATTCGTTGCATTTTTCTGAACAACCAAACAAAGTGATTAAGCCAGCAGCTGACAGGATACAGTTTAAGTCAACAAAAGTTCATGCAAAAAATGAAGGACATGGTAATATAAATTTATTCCCCACCATGTTGTGTGAAAAAACACAAGCATCTTCTAAACAATGCTTTTACTAGCCCAAGCTTTCAAGCCCACTCAAAAGGTTTACACAGATTTCTGTTTAAGATTAATGATAAACATCTTGTTATCAAATATAGGATTTGCAACACTACAGAGCAACTCGATTCTGCCATCGGGGTCAAATATCTCTGAATCGGTTATTAACAACACACCAAAAAATCGCCAACCTCCATTGTGTCATTACATCGTAGCTGATGTGCCTGCCTGTGCTCTATGCATAAGAAACACCTCCGATGTCAAAGGAAGGGATGTGACTGAGAGTGACTCTATGACCTGATACAGTTTTTTGATGAAGTAATGGGGAGGGTGGATGAAGGTAGTGCAGTTGATGTAGTTTATATGGATTTTCAAAAGGCGTTTGCTAAAGTACATAACATAAGAGACTTGTAAGCAAAATAAAAGCCCACGGTATTAAAGGGACAGTGGCAGCATGGATACAGAACTGGCGGGGAGACAGAAAGCAGAGAGTGGTGGTGAACGGTTGTTTTTCTGACTGGAGGGAAGTGTGCAGTGGTGTCCCCCAGGGGTCAGTATTGGGACCACTGCTGTTTTTGATCTATATAAATAATCATAAAATAATAATCCTTGCATTTGATATAGCGCTTTTCACGTCTTATCGACGTCTCAAAGCGTTTCACAGAACAGACTGTAAAGTGAATTGACTGTATATTTTTGTGGGCGAAACGCAGAAGCCAATTGCGTACAGCAATGTCCCACAATCAGTCATGTATCGAAAATGACCAATTTATTATTGCTTTGTGTTGGAGGGATTATTATTAGGCGTGTGGAGGTTTCGTCCTGCCTGGAATTGAACCCAGGTGTCTCGCTAACCACTGAGCTGCAGGACTCCAAATGACCTGGACTTCTAGGGAGTACAATTTCCAAGTTTGCAGATGATATTATGCGAGGAAAAGTAGCAAACAGTGAGGATAGTAGCAGACTGCAAATGGACATAGACAGACAGGTAAAATGGGCAGACAGGTGGCAGATGAAGTTTAATGTGGAGAAATGCAAAGAGATGCATTTTGGGAGGAAGAATGAGGAGAGGCGATATAAGCTGATGGTACAATCTTAAAGGGGGTGAAGGAACAGAGAGACCTGGGGGTTCATATAAACCTTTGAAGGTGGCAGGATCAGGTAGATAAAGCCGTTTAAAAAAAAGCATATGGTATACTAGGCTTTATAAATAGGGGCATAGAGTACAAAAGTCAGAATGAACCTTCATAAAACACTGGTTAGACCTCAGCTGGAGACTGTGTTCAGTTCTGGGCACCACACTTTAGGAAGGATGTCAAGGAAGTGGAGAGGGTGCAAAGGAGATTTACCAGGATGGTACCAGGAAGTGGGACTTCAGGTATCAGGAGAGGCCGGAGAAGCTACGATTATTCTCCTTGGAGCAGAGACGATTAAAAGGAGACAGAATAGAAGTTTTCAAAATTATGAGGTGGTTCATTAGGGTGAACAAGGCGAAATTATTTCTATTGGCGGGTGGGTCAGTAACCCGAGGACACTGATTTAAAATAGTTATAAAACAAAACAGGAGGTGAGGAGAAATTTTTCACACAACGAGTGGTTTGGATCTGGAATGCATTGCCTGAAAAGGTGGTGGAAGCTGATTCGATAACAACGTCTGGAGAGAAATGGATAATTATTTGAGGAGGACAAGTTTGCAGGGCTATGGGGAGAGATCGGGGGAATGGAATTGATTTGGGTTACTTTTTTCAAAGAGCCGGCACAGACACAATGGGCCGAATGGCCTCCTTCTGTGCTATATAATTCTATGACTGGCACAGTGCACACTTTAAGTAAATCCACATTCATTTGGGGGAGAGAGAAAGCCTTTCTGACGGATTGTCCTCGATTGCGTAAAATAATGGAGTTTCCGGATTGCCCCAATTACCACCTGATGTGCAACTTGTGTTTGTGCTCAACTCAGTGTGTGTGTGTGTGTGTGTGTGTATACACTGTGCTTGAGGAGTATGTACTTTGACCCCATTCACCTGCCGGAGCTGGTCAAACTCCTCTACTTGCTGTTGCAAAATG